ATCATGTTTGTGGGATTAAGAGCGATGTAGGTTGGGAGGGTAGTAAGTGGAGTTAATTTCTAAGGACCTTACATGGTTTAAGGAGAGAATAAGGTAGTAATTGTAGACTTTGATAGTTTAGACTTGTCATTTGTCCCTACTGGTAGACTGTGAAGAGAGTCTATAACTACCGAGCTAACAAAATGGGGAAATTAGAATAATGAAGAAGAAGAAAGAAGAGAGAAAATACCCATAAGAATCATAAATACCAGACTGCCAAGTATACCTAAGTGAAAATAGACTTACTGCTTCAATTAAAAATCTATCCAGTGACTACAGTGTGTGCGCGTGTTTCCTTCTGTGGTAGAGCACTTGCCTGCTCTAGATGACGGCAGCTCAAAGGTAAAACTAGAGCTCTGTTTAATTCTTTATGGGAGGCCTTAGTCACAGAAGTAAGAAAGAAAAAGATAAAAATGACTAAAATGATCAAGATAATTGGGTAAGAAGATAAAAAGCAGTTAGTTGTCATAACATGATGGTGAACTAGAAAACAAAAAATAGATAAACTATTAGAATTGATGAGTTTAAAAGCTTGTTGGAGCTGGATGTGGTAGTGCATGCCTGTGGTCCTAACTTCTGGAGAGCCGAAATAGGAGGATCATTTGAATCTTTCTGTGCATTTGGCATCAGCCTGGGCACCATGGGGAGCCTTTGGCTAAAAACAAACCAAAAAACCAAGGTGGTTGGAACAACAGAAAAAGTATATTCATATGAATATGCAGATACTCTGCAGAAAATGAGATCTAAAGATATCATTTACAGTAACATTCATGAAAATAAAATTCTGAGGAATAATTATAATAAAATATGTATAAAATGTTTACATACAATCTGTAAACACTGAAGGCTGAGGATTTAGCTCAGTTGATAGCATGCCTGCTTTAGCATACTTTAGGCTAGGTTTAATCCCCAGCACTGGGCAGGAGAAGGACGTAATGTTTTCATGGATTGAAAGAGTTAATATTAAAAATGTCCAGTTTCCCCAAATTATTGTACTTATTCAATGAAATTACAGTGAAACTCACACAAATTAATGAAAATTAAGCCAATATAAATGTGGAAATGAAAAAGATGAGTACTAGATTTGAAGAAGATCTGAGTGAGATGGTGTATAGTAGCAGCGAACCATTCTTTTTCACCTTTACTCATTAGACAAGGCAGTCTTGGTGCAAAGGTAGAAAGAGCATAGAAACAGAGTCCAGAGATGGAGGAGTGTGTGGACTGGATTTGGGGCAAACGCGACACTGCAGAGCAGCCGGGAACAAGACTTGCTGCTAGTAGATGCTGATGAGTAACTAGTTGGGAAAAAAATGAAAGTGTTGTTGAATCATCTTGTGTGTAAAAATCATTCCAAAAGAATTATAGATGTGAATGTTGGAGGCAATATAATAAAGGAACTAATAACAGACTGGAGAAACACTTTATAATTTGTGAGGAAGAGCTTTCTGTTAACAAAATACATTAAAAGAAAATTAAGAAAGTGGCTGCAATAAAATTAAGATGGTGGTAGATGGTTAAAAAAGTGGGAAAACAAGACCAGCTACAGGAAGGCAGTAAGAAGACCAGCTACAGGAAGGAAGTGGGAAGACCAGACTAACTACAGAAAGGAAGTGAGAAGACCAGACCAGCTACAGAAAGGAAGTGAAAAGACCAGACCAGCTACAGGAAGGAAGTAAGAAGACCAGACCAACTACAGAAAGGAAGTGAGAAGACCAGCTACAGGAAGGAAGTGAGAAGAC